GAACACAATAAATTGCTTTAGTATTGGTAGAGAAAAATAGTTCAACAAGGGATTCAGGTTTTTATTTGATATATGTAGACCTGAAAGGCAAAAGAATGTGGTTCTGAATCTTAAAAAATTAATAGAAAGTCAATAGTTAAAGGAGGCAAATGTCTTTTTAATTTTATAATCTTATCACTTTAGCACACAGGGCACAGAAAATCCACTTTTCTGTAAAACCAGGATTTTCTATTCAATAGCACTTTGAGATAAAGTAGCTATTAAAACTAACAACAACTTTACTGTTTGGAATTTATTACTTCAAGGCAGCTAATCAATAGCTTTCTGCTTTATAAGATGTTGCTGAATGAACTTTCTTTCCTGGGATTTGTTATGGTGACTATTTATCGAGTGTCTCTAAATGCAACACAAACTAACAATACTCCTAAGAACACACTAAGGAGATCTTAGCCCCTAAAAACATTAAAAACAACAACTCCTTAGGGTAATCTTGGGTATCTGTTAAGTGAGAAGCAATAAAAACAAAGCTGGTGACAGTGGTAGCTACTATATCTTCCAAAGGACTAACACTGCCCAGTGAATGATGAGAGATTGTTCAATGGGCACTGGGCATTCGAGTCTCTTTTTATTTTATTGGGTGAATCTGATTTTCAACCACTTCCTAAAATACCTTAGCATTTTGCATGGCATACGGTAGGTGATCAATAACTGCTGAAAAAGTAAATCAGATCCATATTAGTGATTCCTTGTGTTCATAATAAAACTTTTATATAATTATAAAGAGATGGAAAAGTCACGTTGAACAAATAAAAATCAGTTATTGTGCTAGACTGGAAGAAAATAAAGGTGACTTTTGTTTCTAAATTAATTTTTGTTGTAATATTTTCTTCATCTGAAAAAACTATATACTGTTTTTTTATTTTAATTTTTATTTTCTTTTACCTTTTTTCTATTGGTCTTATGTGTGCTGGACTTATTTCCCAATTAGGCTGTCAATCCTTGAAGCATGGCACCATATCACACAGTTGTGGTTTTCTTTGGAATGGTAGTGACTATGTAATTGTACAATAGATGCTCAATAAAATATTCATTTATTAATACTCTAGATTCTCTTTGGAATTCATTACTAACATATAATTTATTATTAAGAGGAATTCCTCTAATCTTTCTCTACTATAATAAAGTGCATCAAAGGCCTTTTCCTCAAAATTTTCCATCTCCTTCATAAGCTGGATAGATAGCAGAATTTACTACCTCTAGTTTATAGTCAAAGAAATTGAGAAAAGAGGTTGATAAGTGGTTCAGATCCCATGTTCCTTAGCTATAGCCTTAGGAAGAGCATTTATATCCACTGACTTTCAACAGCGGGTCACTAAAGAAAATGAAGGATAAAAAAGAAAACGAGTAGAAATTCCAATTAGGAATATGTCCCTTTTGAGGAAAAGCCGCATAAGGTTTTTCTGGGAAAACATCCTAACGCTTTAGGGCAAGGGGGCCTGAGACAGCCGTCCCACTGACCCTCCAATTAGTCACAGCCTGGCCATGCTCACGAGAGTTGAGAACAGGCCAGCTCCCTGTTCCGTGCTAATATTTACTAGATATAAACAAGACTTGTTGGTTTCAGCTTCTTCACAGTCTGAAACAGTCAGGTTCCCATCAATGAATAACACTTCTATCAACACCAAAGAAAGGGCTGACGAAATTAACAAGGAAATTCTGAAAGTCCTTGAAGAGGTTGGTTAGGAGAGGGCTCAACAAACCCGAATGTGAAAACTACAGCATCATTCTGATAGGCTGATCGAATACCAATTTTAAAATTTCCTTCAAATTTGAATTTCTACAGTTAGGTAATACGTTATATCTGAAGAACTCATTTATTGTAGATAAAGTCTATTATACATACAGAGTACAAAATACACAAAAAACTAAATGAGGAGGAAAATGAGAAAAAAACAAATCCAAATAGAGGCTGAAAAGGGGCAAACATTAAGCTTCCTTAAAAAAATTCCTTCTTTGTGGATTGCTTCGCTAGGATTTTGTTTCCTTCCTACTCAGTAGATGAAGACTGAAACTAGTTACACTGCCAACAATGGCCACGCCTCTGTGCTAAGATACAAATGGAATTTGCATGGGACAAAGCCACTAATAATTACAGACGCCTACGAACAATCCCCACAAAGAAATCTAGTTTTTGAGAGAGAATTCCCCAACACAATTTACCATTGAAATATGTAAAGGAGTTTGCCTAAAAAAATCTGCTGATTATATAGCAGATCATGGGAATGAGCTCAGAAAAGCAAGCAAGAAACAGAAAGATAAGGAATAAAAATAAAAACAACAACTACATAAGTTTGAAAGAACAAACATCTATGTAGAAAAAGCCAATTTAGAAAAACAGGGAACTTGAACAAATTATAGTGATTTATGGGTTGACTGATATGATGGTGGCACAAAAATGGATATTTAAAGCTATGCGAAGGGGTCTCACTGGCTGTGACTTCATGTCAATAGAATATAGACATTCCCCAACTCATTAATAGCTGTGGCATAAAAAAATTTTAAATCGTTTGTTTGGAGACCATATGCATTTCCTACCTTTCAACTAACCAGTCTTCTATTCAGCCATAGAAACATGTGCTGGGTGCTTACGTGACATAGCTGTCATCGTTTCCTATAGCACTAATATTATAAATGACAACTGGTTCCAGATGATCACACAAAAGGCTATTTAATTTACAGTATTTATAAACAATGAGTCTGAGGGGCCAGCCGAGTGGCTCAGTTGGTTAAGAGCTTACTCAAGAGTGGGAGCTCTGAGCAACAGCGGTTTGAGTCCCTGCCCGAGCTGAGCTGCCAACAGGTGGCAGGATGGCTCAGCTAAAAATAAATAAATAAATAAATAAATAAATAAATAAATAAATAAATAAATATCTATCTATCTATATACACATACAATGAGTCTGTGTCAGGGGCCCTGGGAATTGAGGACTGCAGGACACAGGAGGGATGGGGAGGCATTGCTCGCTTCTGTCCAGGGCTGGGCCTACAGCAGTTTTGAGAAGTGGGGGGAGGGCCCTTTCCCCTGTCCTGTCCCTCTCTGCTGATCTGGTATTTCCTCTCCTCACCTCATCCTCAGGCCCTCATGCTGCCCTAAGCCCCCAATCAGATGTTTGTCTCCATAGAGCATTCTATCTCTAAAAGTACGTATCTTTCTTTTCCCCTCTTAATACACACTTTAATTCTCTGAAAGGAGTTGCTAGAAGCTAGCATAAAAGCAATGTGTGGAAACTAATTCACGATAAGGTGTGAATGACTGGTAGCTGCCTAACACACAGATTAAATATTATATATATCTACATTGATATCGATATTGATATAGATATGTAAGCACTAATTTTTTTCCTTTTCTTGAAATGAAAATTCATATTGAGTCAAAAGAATTGGTGAAATTTGGGGAAATACAACAAAATAAAAATGAAAAATTTAAGACTAAAGAAAAAGTTTATTTCTCAGGAAAGAAGGACCAACGACAAGGTTTTGCCCAGGAAGTCACCCACCAAAATCAGCTTAAGTTGGTCATGCTTTTCATCCCTTCTTCTTCTGTATCCAAGGATTCTGTAAATGTTCTATTTTTTTCTAAACAATGACTATCAAAGTGGGGGAAGGGCTCTCATCACAGCTGAGTGGAGGCAGAAGCACCCAAATCAGTAAATGCCTATCTATAAAAATGCAAATATATTAAAGAGACACGTTGGGGTTTTACTGCAGTCTCCTCAGGCAAGTTATTTTGCTCACAAAAGGATATGTCATAGAAATTTTTTAAATCACAAAGTTCCCTAATACTTATGATTAGGTTTCAAAGAAATTCAATAAATACAGAGCTTCTTAGGAGAAAAAAAAATTTTCAGATGAATGTAAGATACAAGATACACACACACACACACACACACACACACACACACACACACACACATGCAAATTCCTAAGGTTATTAGTTTCAAAGAACAAAATATGTATTGGTGCTTCAAAATGTAATATGTAAGGAAGAAATGATTAGATTCTTGGGAAACCTTTTTGTCAAGAGAAAAGGTTTGGAAATATTAAGATTGGGTGGGATATTAGCTGGTCTTACCCATGGAAAGAGAAATACAAGGGATCTGTAAATGTTTAGAATACTTGTCCACTACCGTGTTTCTGTTTTTAAACTCTCTCCTTTACCTTGCCTCTATAGGTGTTCAGTTGTTGATTTTTGTGGCCATTTCCAGGAAAAGGCACATGGATTGATATTTCCAGAGGGAGTGGGGGATGGAGCAGAGAGCAGTTACATGAAACTCTTGGCTCAGAATGCAAAGCTTTGTTCTGGAAGCTTAAGAAAAAAAATTAAGGAGGATTAATGTCCCGATTCCCCCCAAAATTTCTGGTTGCTTTGGGATATAGGTTTTGTAGTTTAAGTATCTATTTATTCACTCAACACGCTGCTTCTGTTCTCAGTGCAAACTGAGGCAGCAGCTTTGTGGGAAGAGAAGGAAAGATCCCTGGGTGGTTGTTGGTCTCCTGACCGCTGCCTCACCTAGCCAGGTGCCTCCCACGCCTTTCATTTCTTCTTTCCATCTCAAGGTGGCAGATATATTTTTAAGTGGAAACCTTGTTAGCGATTGGGTTTCCCAGTGATTTCTGCACAAAGACCCAGAAAGTAGAAGCCAGGCCTGCCAGCACTCACCCCTACCTGCTGCGTCTGCTGTCTCTGGATGGCTCTCACTTTGGGGACAGGACTCTCCCTGGAGGAAGAGGACTGCTGGCGGGACCGGCTCCCGTTCTGCACAGGCTCGGCCACCAGGGCTGCAGATGTCACCGACATGCTCCCTGTGCTCCGCAGGGAGGAGCTGTGCGGCAGGGACGGCGCGGCTTTGGCGCGGGCACCCAGCCCGGCCTGGTCCATCTTTCGGATCTGGGCCTGCCCAGTGCTATTTTGCCGTGGCAGAGCAAGAGGTATGTGTCTGTCGGGCACAGTGTGCCGCCTGGAGAAGTCCTCACTCTGAGTGCTACGTCTGGTGAAGTCTTCCATGCTGCTATTGCTGGGTCCACTGAGCTTGAAGTCTTCACTGTTACTTTGGCTCCTGGAACTGGCAGTGCTTAGGTTCTCCAAGCTGGAATCCACAGAGGCCTTTGGCATTACAGGGATTGGGTTACTGAGGTGATAGACGGGGTTCTGGAAGGACAGGGGCTGCAGGCCGCCCGGCTGGTTCAAGGCTGGGTGCAGGGGCCTTCTCACTTGGGGAGCGCTCTGCGGGGTGCTCTGGGCTTCCCGCAGCTGTTTGATGCTGGCCACCTGGGTTATGGAAAGCTGGCTCCCGGTCAAGCGCAGAGGCACATCGAGCATGACGGAGGCAGGTTCCACCTGGGCAGCATGAGTGTCCTGGAGGTCCATGAGGGAGACGCTGCGACCATTGGGAAGGCTGCCTTCCTTGTCATCCTTCTCAGAATAGGTCATGCTCTGGGAGGAGGTTTGCTGAACCAGCAGTAACGTCTTCCCTCTGAAATAGCCATCTGTGTTGTCCTGGCTTGGAGACTTGAGCTTGTGCAAATCACTGTGGGAAAGGAAGGGGCTCGTGATTACTCTTGAGGCCAGTGCACCCGAGTTAAGACCCTCTCACTTCCTAGTTAGGCTTGAAACCCTCCCAGGAATTCCAGTTCATACTCAATTGGTTCCTTCTAAACCTTCCAGGTGAGAAGCTCTGGGGGCACAACCGAAGGGTCCCTGCCAAGGGCACAGATCTTCCAATACAGAAGCCAAGTCTAAGCATCAACACTGCGTCTACAGCCCATCTGACACAGCCAGATGGATACACAATGGTTTTAACCGAGGTTCTCTAGATTTTTTTAAGTGCCACAATATGACAATATCAATTTCATAGAGCCCCTGGCCTTCCATTAAGCAGGACATATCATTCTACAACATCAGTCTAGAAAATAAGTATCCTAGATCTAATGTATTATTATGACAAATAATTGGGATTTATCTCAGGTCAGATGCTTCTTTCCAATTGCTCATGACGTTAAAGTTTGTAAATTCAACAAATAAGTTAAAGGGATTTCTGCCAGATCTCTAAACATTATCCCTCTGAGGTAGTACTTCACATTCTCTCTTCCATACCTGTCAGTGGGATCTTCAAATATTTTCTGCAGCCCGGAGGAGAGGCTTCCACTGACATTGGGGCTGGAGTTATGCTCAGTGAAGCGTCTCAGTTGCTGCTGTATTGGCGTAGGGTTAGTCAGAGACTTGGTAATATCAGCGAGAACACGTGGGAGAGGTCCCAGTTTTGCCACGGTCGCCTGTAGGAAGGAATTTTCACCCTAATTGGATAATAAGCATTGCGACATCCAGCACAGGTTGTTTTGGGGACAACGATGCCCAGTGATGAAGGGGTGTAGGTTGGAGGGGAGGGAGGTGTTTGCATGTGGGAAGTGGCAGGTTCGTAATGCATTGTTACGGAGCAGCGGAACCATGGCGTCGAGATGAATGGAGGAGGCAAAACAAGGTGCAGCAGACATTGAGGAAAGAAAGGAAATAGGAATTAGGATTATGCAAATAAAAATTAAAAGACATGCTCAAAACAACCAAAACATTGCCATTCCAACTAAAATCGGCATGCAAAGCAAACGGAATCGGTGGAAGGCTAGTAGGTCGAGGTGGGGGAGGGAAGGGGAAGAACCAAACACCTTCTAACCAAAAGGGACTTCAAGACCAGAAGGCTAGTTTGATGAAACTGCCAAAGAAAAAGGATCACGTGAGGGTAGAATGCATGCCAACATACAAGAAGGTGTTGCATGCAGGGGTCCAAGCACTCCACTCCAAGGCACACAGTCGACATTGCCATCCACTATTGCATTTAATCTTGGGAACCCTGACTTATTGCCAACTGGGCTTGCATCAGCATGACAATTTTTTTTTAATCAGCAAAATAAACTGTCTCTATGAAATATGTCTGGACATAGTCCTGGTTCCCGGGACCAAACAGAGATTAAAAAGGGAAAAGTGTGTTTACACAGCAAAGCCTGTTAAAAAGACCTTGACCCTGAATAAACCAGGCTGATAACTGTTATCTGCATCTCACTGACGCAGTTATTCAACAAAGAATAACTTGTTAGTGCTTGCTTTATCCATCTCAGTTTTTTCTTCGGGGAATTCTTATTCTTATGGGGTCTTATGGGACCCTCAACTGTTAGGCAGTTTTACATGACTGTCTCTCGGTCTTCTTTGTTTGCTCAACAACCAAGAGATTCTTCAATGGGTAAAACGCATGCTCAGATGCCACTGGAAGAAGGCCTTTCCGTGCTCAACCTTCTTGAGCCGTGATTCATCCACATTCAAGGAATTTACCCTCAGCATAGCTGCAACTTAAACTCTAGCTGGCATTTCTAAAGTGAAGCAGGGGTCCTCAATATAAAAAACAGCTTATTATTTTACAAGTGTTTTAAGCACTAGTGGACACCCTACCATTTACATTTCCTCAGCAAAGTGGTCTTTATTAATAGGTTTTACTCCCTCCAATTTTATGGTGCAACATTTTTAAGGATAATAGGAAACTGAAGGAAAACAAACAAATTCTTATCACAGAAAAATAACTTTGTCTTTTCAAGTTATTCTAACATACCACCACACATATTTATAAATACCTGTAGCAAAACAAAAACATCAAAAAATAATTATTGTGATAAACCTAGCCAAAGTCTGCTAAGACTATTTTCCATTGTAAAATCTATTCCTCTCTATAAAATTCCAGAAGAACGGTATACAAGAAATTTCTTAGCTTATAATCGAAATAAATGATAAAAAATGATTATTGTTTTCTGTATTCTTAATTCATATCTGTAGAGAAAGGAACCATCAGGATTTTCAGATCCCGTGGAACTCTGTAGCACTAATAGTTATATTAAACCCTTTGAGTTGTATAATAAAAAGAAAAATCTCATGGCTAAAGGTGGATAAACATAACATCTTGGTATGTTTCAAAGTCTGCAGTTCTGTTAGAAAATACTACATGAGGCTTCATCTCATCATGAATAAGGTGGCAACACCAATATTTGATGTTCCTAGGCAAGTTTTTAGATGTTATATATACTTACTTACTTTATTGATAGAAATAAATACTCCATTAATACAGATAATTACTTAAAAATATATGTAAATAATTTCACAGCTTTCTAGAATTTCCTGGTTTGTAGAGTACAGATTTTACTCAGAAATGATAACCATTTACTCCCAGATTTCTAAGATAAAAGGTTGCTTTCAACTAAGAGAACGTGTGAGTGCTATCGTTCTGTAGATGCTCTCTGGAATTCAGGTACATCAAGGTTCTCTGCCTCCCACCTCCCATGACTATTCCAGCCTACTTTACCTTATCAAGTTGGGAAACTACTTCCCACAGTAAGGAATGCAAAACTGAAAGCTCGCGGCCCAGGTCAATGTAACCATCAAAGCCTGGCGTGTTGGAGATGGTGTCGGGATTCGAGATCTCCAAAAGAAAGCGCTTCATTCCACCCCATTCATGTTCTAAAAAGTCATTCATGAATGCCATGTATTCTTCTTTGTTACCAAATCTAAAGTAGAGGGTGAGAAAATGAGAAAGAACATATTCAGGAAAAGAGAGGTAGTCATCTGGAGTTGACTTTCACAGAGCTATACATGTTTTTTTTTCTTTTGGGAAGGTAAGTGACTAGTTTGCAAGTGATAAATGCTAACCATATTAATACTCAAAAACTTTGAATAGCTTTCTATTTTCTGTCAGGTAAAGTAATAAGCCTGTTTTTCTGGTATTTAAAGCTGTCTGTAACCTTCATTGACCTACCAAATGTTCACCAGTATGAACCTTCACTATCACTCACTTCTTCAAAGTTTCCCAGATATACTTTCTCTTCTCCAAGCCTTTGTTCCTGCTGCTTCTCTCTACTAGAGAAGAACTTCCTCTCCTCTTTGTCCATCTAGATTCTAGCTATCTTCAGGGCCAGCTTAAGTCCATAAATCTTGCTCCGAAATAAACTAGAAATATATATATTTTTTTACCAGAACTAGCTCAAATATGAGTAAATATGTATATTTCTGCATTGGCTTCTATATAGGGTACACAAAATTCAAGCAGTGCACTTCTAAAAAGCCACTATTTAAACTAGAAAACAATCTGTCTCACTGAAGTTCTAATTTTTTCCTTCAGTATGTTTCTAATAGAGTCTTGTCTTTAAACTTTAATATTGAGTAAGTCTGCTATGATCAATTTTGCCAGTGTGAATTCCTTCTCAGTGGTCTTAAAATTATTTTCCGTAAATTATAAAAATTATACAAACTTAAGAAAAATTTGAAAACAATGAAAAGTGGAAAAAGTGTGGGTATACCCACTGTATCACCAAAATATATCTGCTGTTGACACTTGGATGTATTTCCTCCCTGACTGCTTTCTAACTTCCTTTAAAAAAATGTTGAGAATCTACAGAAAAGTTGAAAGAATATACAACAAACACCCATAGGCTGTTCCTCTTTATTAGCCAACTGTCAACATTTTGCCAAGTTTGTTTTCACTCTCTCTCTCTCTCTCTCTCTCTCTATATATATATATATGTATAATTTTTTTTCTGTATCATTTTAAACTAAGTTGCAAACAAACCTCTAGATATATTAGAACCCATTCCTGCAGAATAAAGAAAATCTCTTACATGAGCCAAAGCCATTATTGCACTAAAACTTTTTAAACTAAATTTCACCAATTATCCCCAAATGGAGTTTCATTGTTTTCTCCAACTGAGATCCAATTAAGATTCAAGAATTCCGAGTCTCTTTTAGTCTAAAACGGCCCCCCTCTGTCTTTTCCATTTTTCATGACATTGACTTGTTTGAAGGGGCCCAGCCAGTTGTCTTAGACAATGTAACCATGGGATTTAGGTGACTATTCTTCCCAACATTTCTATATGGGCGTTTTTGTGTTTTTACATTAGTAGGACAATAGCATATGCACCATTTGATGTCCTGTCGTGTTTTTTGCTAAGGTTTTTAATAGCTTTTTCCATTTAATAGAATTATATCTTCATTTTCCACATTATTGGGTATTCTTTGTTATTGGGTAAACACTGTTTATAGTGGCTACAAATATTCTATTGAATGCATGTACCATAGGTTACTTAGCCATTCCTCTAGAAAGTGAATATTTAAGTTGTTTTCATTTTTTTTGCTATTTATAATAACCCCACAATGAAATCTTGTAACCCCACCTCCATCCAAATTTTAGATCGTGTGTATTTTTAACAATGTTTTTGAAAAGGCGTTGTGGTGGTGACACGTACTTGGCAAAGTTCGCCAGGTTCTGAATGACCTTGGCAATGAGGGTCAGGGTCCGAGAAGTGCGGTCATCCGGATACTCCTGCATAAGGTTGAAAAGACTGGGCGACATAATGGCTGGGCACAGGAACCGGAGAAACAATGAGGCGCTGATGAGCCGCTCGCTGATGTCTTGCTTGCCGCGGTTCAGGCACTGATGCTTCCATGATGCAAACACTTCTTTCAACTCACGAGGGAAAACGCTGGGGAAGGAAAGAAGAGCAAAACCCCTAAATATAAAAGAACCACAACCCAAGAAAGCACAAGCAATCGCGCCCTGGCCCAGCACACCCGCCTCCGCGCTGGAGCCAGGCGGTGAGGAGGGCGTAGTGGAGCGAGCTGCCTGATGCGTGGCTGGGAGGTGGTAGAACGTTCCCAGAAGCCCAGATGGAGGCTGGAGAGCCAAAGCCATAAGTAAAACTCAGGAATTAGTGTAAATTTAGTCTTGAAAAGTGGGCAAATGGCATGCGGCTCCTGACTGAACCATCTGGTTTAACACAGCTCACCGTAATCTCTCTCAAGACTGTTTGTCAAAAACCTTCCAAAATCTCACCATTGCTGGGGTTGGGGCAATGATCAAAAAGCATCATTTGGCACTAGTAAACATCTGTTTAGCACTAGTAAACATTTTAGAAAGCCATTAAAATACTTTTAGTACTAGGAGAATGTGGTGCTAATATTCTATATGCACATTATATTTATGTGGACAGTTCAGAGGTTCTTCTGCTTACAATGGAGATTTAGATTTTAGGTAAGACTATATTAGGGAAACTCGGTTTTCCCCCTAAGCCCTTCCTTTGGTTGGGAATTAACTTAACACTGTGATGAGTTTTATAGGGAAAATGGTAAGTTCCATAAGCAGGGATGAAGCACTGACACCAGCTCACCAGTAGGAGTTGATGATCTTGCAGAAAGCCAGCTCACAGCACATTTTCAGGTTGCTCTGGTGGTCTGTCAGCTCACTAGATGAGCATTTGCTGGGATCCACTTCACAGTTCTCATCTGACTCATACAAAGCTTTGATGAACTCCCCTATTTGGAGAGAGAAGACGGCAGACAGTGTTAACTATAAATAGTGTCTTTCTGAATAGACTAAAAGGACTTAGAATCTCTGTCCTAAAATGTATAACTGGGAATTCTTTCTGAGACCTCACATGGAGGGTACAAAAGATTGTTCACAAATGGTTATTGCTTTGGAACCCAGGAGTTACCACCTCCCGCTTATCGTGTTTATCTTCCTTATCCTGGAAGTCAGGAAACAGCAATCGCTAACATCATCATCATGGTATTTATAAAATAACAATGATACTACTTGAAACAATGATACAACTTTAAATCTTTTATCTGAAACCACAAATACATTTAGTTAGCAGGAACTCATTATGTGTTATAAGGGCCCTCTACCAGGGTGAATAATATTGTTATTAGTTGAGAAGAAAAAGCAACTCAAGCTTGGCTGAATACAGCCCACGTAAGGTTTTAAGTGCTCATGCTGCTGCTAAACACAGACTCAAGTAAGAATGTCTAGGCTTACCTCCTGTAATGGGGACAGTCGTTCAACACGGCACAAAATTGTAGCAGAACATCTCTTTATATAATCTACACATGTTTTCCCAAATAAATTTAGCTTAGAAGCCCTGTTCTTACATGCCGTCCTCTATAGGGATATGCCCAACATCCTCTGCAAGAAAAAACCGTTTATCCTCCACGATACCTTGTGTATATTATGCTGCTCCATGTTTCACACTGTTTTGTGCTTATTTGTTCACGTGTCTGTCTCTTCTCTAGGATGAATACCTTTGGAGGTCAGGGACCAGGTTCTATTCATGTTCAAATCCCTAGCCTATCAAATAGCGCCCAAAGCATTGCAGGTGCTCAATAAATATTTATGAGAGCTGGAAGTATGTATTCTTAGGTTTTTATAGGCCTTTATGAAGGAGGAGTAGATCATTCAAAGATCCTTTCAAATCTGTTTCTATTAGTTGAGGCTCAGGCTAGTAATAATAGACTTCATGAAAGTGAACAATAATTTCTGTAAAATTAAGTAGCATCAGCAATATGAAGTAGCAAAATGGTTAGGAATGAAGTAAAGGAGCGCTTTTAAAATTAGCTATGATACAGGATAAGAAGTAATTATTTGGAAGAAAAATGCTTTGAGAACAGAAAAGAAAGTAGTATACAGAAAAAATAAAGGCTTTAGCGTCAGACAGGTCAAGGATCAAATCCTGGACTCATCACTTAACTGACCGTGGAGCCTCAAAAAGAAAGTGTCTGATATGGTGGTACCTGGAGTTTGTAGGGGCTCAACACAGAAAGTATTATTATGTACAAACTAGTTAGGTACAACCTAGGTAACTATTATATAATTTTTATAAAATGAAATGACTAAAACTATTGTAGTAAAAGGCTTTTAAAAATGATTACTGATGCTCACAAGATTTGTATTCAACATGCTTTCAGTATCTCCTATGCTATGTGCTGCCACACACTTGACCCCATTTAAGGAGGACCTAAATTTAAAACAAAGTCATCAGTGTCAAATGCCCCACGTAAAAACTGGCCCACCTCTAAATTTATACCATCAATATTCTGTTTAGTGAGTTCCTTAAGGTTATACTAATTCCGGGGAAATAATACAAATACTAACTGATAACTTGTGAATTATAAGAATATTCTTCAAGAAAAGAGCCAAATAAATAACTCAAGGGTCCAGAAGTAAATTAATTGTCTATAGTGGAAGCCTAAAAAGTTTTTTCTTGATTATGATATATTTACAATCCTCCAAAATAGACCAAATTATTATTTTTACTTTTGAAACTATAACCTATGTCTGATAATGTGGAAAATACCACATTGAAAGGTGAACCTTTTATACGTTTGTACCTAGAAGCTGCTTCCCTGATCAAAAATGACTGAGACAGATTGAACAATCCATTTACATTTGCTCTCTTCCTTTGAAAAAAATCAGAGCCAAAGGGGGTGGGTGCTCACTATATCGTTTAAATGGAAGTTTGTGCCCAGAATGTTATATGTGTTTTCTAGGTAAACCATTAACTCATTAGTATCTACAATAGCATCCAAATTTCATGTGTAAAAATAAGTCAACAGGTAAGGACATATTACTGCTAAGAAAGAATTTGCCTCTGTCACCAAGGAAGGAAACCAGGCCTGTTAGGGACTTCTTGTCTTTATCTCATAGTGGCATTTCCTGTGTGTTACAGGACATCATTGTGCAGCCTGATTTCAATCAGGAAGGTAGAGGGGGCTAGCACATGGAAGATTTAGGTCTGAGGCAGAGCCTGTGCGGTAAAGAGTAATGCTTTAATCAAGATAAATGAAGATTGTACAATATGACCAGCAACTTTTCACTCAATTTTCTTAGAGAGTTCTTCAAGCAGTCTGGAAATAGCATCTATTTTTTTTTTTTGCCCAAAGTATATGAAATACAGCAAAACTTATTCAGAGTACCCAGCTGTACTTACTAATTTATTTTTTTGTTTACCGAGACTCTACCACTGTGAAGCCTTTTTATTTAATGCTTATTATGAAATCTTCCTCAGTTATAGTATTAGAGGTTCCTGCCATAGCAAGTAAAGTATCAACTAGAACCAATTTCTCTAATTCTTTGAAAAAGTACAGGATCTCACTCTCTTTTTTTGGTTATTGGAACATCCTTATCTTTCTTATCTCCCTATATTGTAAGCTCCTTGAGGGCAAAAATCTATCTACTCATTCAACATACGCGACTGTCTATTCGTGATAGTCACATGTGACAAATGAGCACATGAAATGCAGCTGGTGCAAACTGAAACATGCAATAAATGTAAAATACACTCTGAATTCCAAAGCGTTAGTATGAAAAAAGTAGAAAACCTTATTAATACTTAGTATACTGGTTACCTGTCAATATTTGGATATGATGGGCTAAATAAAATGCTATTAAAATGAATTCCATCTGTTTCTCATTACACTTTTGATACTGTGACTGCTAGGAAATTTAAATTACATGTGACTATTATGTTTCTATAGGACAGTGCAGGTCTACATTCTGTGTGAAGTGCTGGGATATGGAGCTAAAAGAAAGGCCTGATCGTCAGGGAACTCACGTCTGCTTTATCATGACACGCATCGAAGTGCCCAGCACAGCCCTTTACTCTGGAGGCTGAATTTCACAACCACTTTTGGAACTGCAAGTGAGTGGCCTAGCCAGCAGAACTACCAAGGGAACAAAAGTTAGTTATTGCTGAAAATTCTGGAGGCCTTGAAGACAGAAATTGAGAGTTGTGGGAACTGGCAAGTGTTTCTTAGTGTTTGATGCATGGTAACAAATGTTAACACTTTCAAGACTTAAGTGATGTGTTTATATCATGATATAAATACCTAGCACTGGGGGAAACAGGCCACCCTCAGTATGACACCCACTAATATCGCGTATATCTCAGAGTCAGGAACTCGGGGGTCTGGGGGCAGCTGCATGTGCTGATGGGCTTTCTTTTCCTGCATGATTCGTAATAAACCCATCTGCTGTTGCTGCACGGTGAGGACTGCAGAGGCTCTGTAAAGCTGAAACTCAAACTTGAACACTCTAGTTGGCTAGAACTAAACGACAAGCAGAACTGGAGCTCAGCCGGTTTGTCTCATGAGGATGAAATCACAAAGTCAAAAGGGGGTGAAAAGAGAACATGTTTTTCTTCTCCATACCCAAGGCATCATGAAGATACTGCTGTCCCACCAACTTGAGGTATTCCTCAATGGACTTGGTGGCAATGGTGTTCTCTCTGAAGATCAAGACATCATGCTCTCCACAACGATCCACCTCAGACATCACCAAATCGGTCAGAAAATCCTGGTAGAATAATGTTCAATCAGGCAGAAAGCAACTGAATAAATAATATACATCAGAAGAGACTGATGAGCTATCAGACATCTTGGAAATCCTGCTTTAAAACTAAAGCTACCAGATTCATTTGAAAGAAAAAACAGTCAGGATTGAATCTTAGGGGTCACTATGCCTAAGTTTAAAACTCCTTCAAAGGTTTTCCATTGTACTTTTGAAAAAGGCCGTAATTCTCTGTGCAGCCTACAAGTTTCTATATTTTCTGGCTTCTGCCTCCCTGCCCAGCCTCATCTTGTACCATTCTCTCTGTATTCTGAACCAGCCTCAAGGGTCTTCTTTTAGGTCCTTGAATACCCCAAGCCTTTTCTGATACACGATGTTGTCTATTCACCACAAAACTTTGTGCAAATGCTGTCCTCAGTTCTGCTTCCCTCCCACCATCACCCCTGCCCCCCTGCCACAGAGTTAATTCCTCAGATCCTTTGGATCGTAGTTTGCACATCATTTCCCCAGTTAAGCTTTCTCTGACCAACACTGCACTGAACCCCCTTAGTCCACACTCTTATAGCACCATATATCTTTTTTCTCTGCACTTCGCACTGTAATCACACATTTATTTCTGTAATTACTTGATTAATACCTATTTTCCTTAGGAGACTATAATCCCCATGCAGCCAAAGACAGTGACTATTTTAATTTACCTCTATATTTCCAGCGCTTAACAGTTTCTGCACATAGGAGGTATTTAATATGTAACAGTTACAAGTTGGTCCACAGTATTAACATGGAATTTCTTGAACTCAATACCTGAACTTACTTTCTAGCAATCTGTCTGCCCCCCACCCCGGCCAATGCAGCCAAGTAGCAGGAAGGCATAAGGAGAAACACAGTCCTTAAGAAATAGCTCCTTCATTTCTCAACGGTCTTAAAGAACTTGATGTAAAAGTCAGAGTTTATTGTTGTTCAGTTTAAAATGTGGTAACATGTATTGAATGTTATATATTTATTGGATATATCCAAGTCTCTAAAAACCCAAAATAGAGGGACTATGCTGACTTACTTTAAAATTAAGCATTTTAACATTAATGGGGCTTACTCTGGGGCAGTTTAACAGTGTAAAAGAATTACAGATTTAGGAATCACTATTAAAACTCTTAGGCTAAGGGGCAGGAAGAAGTTTTTGGGGATGATGGTAGCATCCCGTATCTTGACTGGTGGTGGTGGTTTCAGTAGGAGCATTATCTGTCAAAATCATTGTTTTTCACTTTAAATGGGTATAGTTTATTATATGTAAATTGTACTTCAATAAAGTTGTTTAAAACTGAAGAGCAGAAAGAACATATCTATACAATTTCAAAGAGGACACTCAAAATTTCAGTGACACCTCACCCCAAGTTCTCAAGCCTCTTTAATTCCAGAAAGCTCAAGATTATTATCAGTAAATCCAACCACAAAAATTATAATCAGTAGAAAGGCAGTTAGATAAGGGACTAAATATTGAATATATCAACATATTCTGATTTGTATCAATAAATCTTAATAGCACTTTATTGTTTGTTTCTAAATAAATTACTCTAACTTTGAACTCCTCTGTGTCTAAAAACACAAGTTTACCATGACCAACTGGCATATAACAGTGACTCAGCCTAGTTAAGTGAATATGCCTCATAGAGGTGATAATTATTCTAGTTCAGGCTGATCAAATACTATCATTTGGTTATTGTTCTTCACACAATTAGCATATATCTCTTTTTCCATCTTCCTACATTTTTACTTCTATCCAGGATGAAATGAGATATGGCTATCATGAAATAACTACCAATTATATAACATCCCTTGGTATTTTTACTCCAAATATAGATTTTTAATCCCATGAAGACTCTTGCTAATAATACCCAGCATGCTTCTGGAATACCTCCTTCCGGGACCAGGGGATACGTCATCGGTTAATCTTAAACAAGAGATGGCGAGGAGGAAAGCCACCTTGTAACACACTCTAGAGTTAAGGATAAATAATCTTTAACACACTGTGGTACTATCACGCTAACACTACCATTGATTTTGTCAGACAACAAAGAGGTAGCTGTGGTATCTCCTTCATGCAAATAGACTCTAAATAAATATTTGTGGTCTCTCCATTGTACTTCTTTAGTTTTATAATCCCCATCTTTTCTGGATCTAGGAACTGCTAATAGGTTTCCTTCTGTATTCTTTTTTTCTTTTTTGACCATTAGCAAAGTGTATTTCTCTAATTTGGATCTCCACAGTATCGTATATTTGTTTCTTCATAAAAGGTAGGGAAGAGATTCTGGGTAAGGCAATCCTCCTTTTCCACTTACCTTGGCTCTGCCGGTACTTTGAAGAATGTGCACTAAGGCACAAGCCAACTCCTCTTTATTTCTCACACTAATCACTGGCTCAAGGACAGAACACAGCATGGTGTAGTTGCTGGTGACAAATTCTGCAAATTCTTTGTATTGCTCCATAGGCAGAATGGTGATAGTTTGGAAACGTGATTTAATGCGAATAGACGGTCCTCCTGTCTTTCCTTTGTTGGGGGTAGGGGTACTCACTGGATACCACTTTTCTACAAATTGGCGACCAGTCACACTAGCAGTGGGGATGTTGACTAGCCCTACGTAATTATTCTTGTCTTTTTTTTTCTTTTTTTCCACATCTTTATAAATGTGAACTGTGATGCTATGAAGAGGAGGAAGGCTGTAGAATTCAAAATGTTCACCCCAGAAAATATTATCTGCTTTGGTCTTGCTGGTTGTACGAGCAAAGAGGGTATCGTCAAGGCACAGTTCACAGAAATATTTCTTTTTAGGGGCGAGGTCCTTGGCTTCAATGATCCATAAACGGAGAACATTTTCAGCTCGTCGGCAATTGTCCTATAAAGAGGTAACAAAGCTGAGTTTGAGAGCTGAAATCCTAGAAGGACAAAATTTCCTTTTAAAATAGGTGATGTTGACTATATAATTTATTACGGGTAATCGATAAATAATGAAAGGCATTGCTATCTCCTTGTTCAGGATAATAGCAAGCTCTAAACAAGAATGTATTGAAATCTTAGAGAGCCACATGCATACAATCTATTTTACGTGGATTAAAAAAAATATCATTCTGTAATATAAGTTCTCATGTAGCCAGCCTACTTACAACTGGACTAATGTCTGCAAATAAAAAAGAGATAAGTAGTTAAGAAACTTGTGTTCTAGTTCCATTTCTATCACGTACTAGCTTCTGACTAGGGCAAGTCACTTAACTTCTCTGAGTCTTATCCACATTGGTAAAATCATGATACTATCTTCAATAAGATTATTTTGAGCATAAAATGGCATAATATGCAAATATGTTTTAAAGGCTCTATAAAAATTAAGGTATCATTGCTTATTTTATCAATTTACTGCTTATAGAGTTATATATTTTTAGACACTCAAAGCCACTATTACCTTATTTGGTTGAACTGTCCTGCGAAGGTTTTCCATCCACTTATCTCTCTCTGAAGCAGAGTTACAGCTGAAGCATTTACTTCCACTTAAATAGGTAACCTTCAACATAAAGATTAGAGATAAGGAACAGGAAACACAGGGCTCAGGGAATTCTAGTTTCCTAGTTGTACCATTAAAGAGTCAGGGGTAAGCGAAAGCCCAGTTCACACTATAGGAAACCAAAAAAAATGACATTTGCCAGCTCTGTGATTTCTGTATCTACGTCTACATCCATTTTTGACTTTGCATCCTCACTCATCTCCAGGTCTGAGAACAAAGGCCACTGACAATTCAGCTCAGGAACCTAAAACTGTTCAAAAAGATTGAAATTAAAAACCTTTCAGGCCACATCTTAAATTACCTGCAAATGAATATGCTAATAAAAAATTACTAAAAAGGGAAGAGCATCTCTAAAACAGCTTATCCAATTTCTTGGGACCGCCTTCACTGTAATATTATGTAAGGTACTAAATGGAATTTCAAAGAGCTACCAGTATTGGGTTACTGTCTTTGGAACCCATTTCTCCTCCACTAGCAACCTATCTGTTGATTTCTAGGCCTTATTAGGTTAAGTGACCACTATTATTGCTGCCCTTTAAAAATAAAACATGTTATATATATGCCTAGCACCTAACACTGGGCTTGGTATATAACCTGTTGAACTGAGTTCCAGAAATACGGAAAAGTTCAAGTGACTTATAAAAAGAACACTAACAAATGAACTGCCCTGATTGCTAAGTGTGCTGACATATTAACTCAATCTCAGATTATAATCTCAAATCAAATTATATGTTCTGATCGAATATGGCTAGGGAGCACCTGAAATGAATATAGCTAGTCCAAACTAAGATGTGCTATAAATGTAAAATACACACAAGATTTTGAAGACTTAGTACTCCCCCCAAAAAGAATGTAAAAAAATCTCTTGGAAAAATTTTATATTAGTTACATGTTGAAATGGTAAAGGGAAGTTTGTTCATTCCAGATATTAGCCACCTGCAATGTGGCAGGGACTGCCTGAAGTGCAGGGGATTATAAAAATAAGGAAGACATGGTCTCTGATTTTGAACTGCCCACGTTGTAGTTAGAAAAATTACGTTTTGATCAATATCCTCAAAAAATCATTAAAATTGGGGCTTAGACTTTCAGGAGAAAAATAACATAGTGAGTGATATCTTTATCAATACTAAAAAACTGAAATATAGATTTAATGCTATTGTTAGTCGTGTGGCCTCTGTTGAGGATGTACTAAGAACCCATTTATACTGAAAGGAGATTAAGCCAAAAGGAAGGAGAAGCCATCACATAACGTTAATCACCAGTATAATTAGATTAATAGATTTCCAAACCTTCTCCCTGTAATTTTCAATACCTGAAAACCAGTTAAGATGATCGAATCATCAATACCATGGTAATGAAATCACAGAATTTGAATACAATTCATTATATACAACATATAATGAATTACAGGATAGAAGATCTGCTTGTTGCTTAACTGCTCTTCCTTCTTTCACTTTTTTTACCTCGAAGCAGAAGTCCTGGCCAAGGATGCTACTATGCAGCGGTTTCACTGATACGGGCTCCCCTCTTCCAAGGTCCAAACATTCCACTGCACTGCATGGGCTCAGCAAGGATTCGTGGGAGCGGGACTCCTTCAGTTTAGGCAGTCCGCGAGACCTGAAAGTAGAGACAAGTGTTTAAGACAAGGTAACTATCTGGTCAACGAGAAAATGAAGGTCTAGTGCAATGGAGGCTAACAACAAATGTATAAATGCCTAAGGAAAAAATCAGTGAGGAGCAAACTAATAGTCTGTGATGACCATAATGGTAGCCATATTCATGCGGCACATACAAACCGTGTGTGTGTGTGTGTGTGTGTGTGTGTGTGCGCGCGCGCGCGCGTGCACACATCCTTTTTTCTTCAATAAAGGACAAAAATGTACTATAATTTTACTAGTCTCAAGGGAGCTCAAAGCTCCACTACAGACATTGTTTTTATCCTCACTCCTGTTTTGGAGATGGAGAAATATATACTATTCAAGGTTATCTTATATGTTCTTATTTATGCAGAGGTATTATCAAAAGACACATTATTTCTTCTGTTTTTTTTTCATGCTATAGCTTTATCCTTTTTCTATCAGTGATAAAATAGTAGTGGGTAAATCCTCATTCTGTTTCTTTCTGCTTTGGCAGCACACACACACACACACACACACACACACACACACACACGCAATCAAAGCCAAGCTTTTCAGCACAAGGCCCTGCCTTTCAAAAGGTCTGATTTCCATCTCAATATGACATTCTTTTCTGGCAAGCTTTTGGTTCTATCCATGGTTTACTATATAAATATGAATAAAGAATAAAATGCCTTGAAGAAACCTCCCACCCGCCAAAGAAATGTTCCAACTCTCATGTAGAAGAACAGATCTTTGTCAGCACCGTTCAGGCAGCCTGACTGATTCTGTTTCCTAGCTGTTTAAAAAGGAATGCTGGGAATCATGGCTCTTGTCACGACAGGAGCTAGGACTTCCTGCCTTCCCCTTGGAGGAACTAACGAAGTCAAACAATAGCACAATATTCTTGAATCCAGAAGTGAATGGCCGGGCAGTTTTACTCCATAATTATACTATTTATTGACTGAAACACCCAGAGTTAAAGACATATATTTCAGCAGAAGCACCTAGTAATAGGGATACAAAGAAATGCCTTGTGGAAAGACATTTATTTTTTGTAAAACATTAAATTAGCAGCTTCATTCATTTCCTTGAAACAACCCCATTAACATTAAAAGGAGCTGAAATACTTGATGTCAGAGTAACTTTCAGTTAAATTATCAAGTAATGAGATTTAGGAAAGTAGCATTAGAGGCTGCTCTTTCCTTGTTTCCATTTTAACATCATTTAATCAAACACACAGCAAGGAACATCTTAAGCAATAAAATTTTAGTCCACTCTTTCCACACACAAAAACCCAACCACCAGTTCATATTTAGAATAAAAAATATGTGCTCATATTCAGCAGCCTTTTTCAGGTCAAAAAGTCAATAATTATATTTATCATTGATAATACAAAGTGCACACAAAACCACTTAATGTTTTGTACATAAAAATATAACAATGCAACAGCTCCACATTTATTCCTTTTTCTCTACTGGAGAAGACAATGACATGTTATATACTGCAAACATAGCACAACTATTATAAATAACTAAAACCATTTTACGTTAATGTAATTACCATACAACCTTTCCCCAAATGCTTCATAGGAAGCCTGGAGGAGGCAACAGGATACTGTAATCTTTCTTAAACACAGAAAACAACAATCCCAGTCCATTTTTCTCAAGAGGAGTTGTTAGGAGGGCAAACGCCTCCCAGGCTCTGACAGCGAGCCTCCTGGCAGGAAAGAAAACGGCATATTTAAAATAGGAGGCATGTCAAAAGGCTTAGTTTTATTTTGAAAGTTTTCTAGGAAAATGTTCTAAAACATCAATTAATTTTATTTCAAGCACAATCAATGTCTACCTACATGAAGCAATGGTACAGCCACCTGGCAGTGCAGCCCCAAAGCATGGCGGTGCCACATGTCACGGTGTAGCAAGTCACTTTTGGGATTACATCTCAGAAAACAACTCCCTGTTTAGAAGACAAGAACCCACAGAGGATGGTTCCCCTGCTGCCTTCAGTTACTGATAACATCTTTGGATAAATGTTGTCCAGGCGTCATTGTCAAGTCTCAGGAAAAGCAGAACAGGAAGTCAAACACCAGACCATGAAGTCCTCGTCCAAATGGACTGCAGGCTGGGTGCTATCCCTCCTCCTCTTCCTCAGGCTGCACCCAGCCCCTTAGGTAAGTAACACAAACAAGGTTCCTGGGCTCTAGGCTGGGCCTGTTGCCATGGTGCTACACCTATAAGGAGATGAGAGTGGAAGCAGCTGTAGCTTGGACTCCAGGAGCTCGCGCTGCAAGCTTGGCCATTTTAAGACAGAAAGGAACAGCAAGGCTCCTACCCACTTCCACTAGCAATTTCTCTGAGTTAAAGGCTGTAGAAAAAAACTGAGGCAACCTGGGTGTGGAGGGGAATCTGTCACCTCGGCTAGGGAACAAAGCTGAGCAGCTTTCTCCTGCTTCATATGTGATCCCCGTATGGAGCCCCTGCTAGAAGGTGTTTGCTACATCCCACCTTGCAAGTACAGTCTTTCTCTCACAAGTGTTCTATTTCCTGTGCAGTGCTTACCCTAGTTTCATGTTTCCAGGTAAGATTTTACATGATCTTATCTGGGTTACACATTCTTTTTTTCTTTTAGAGAAAGTTGGATACAATTTTTTATTCACTGAAATTTGCTGAACAAATTTCATTTCGAGACTCAGGTCTAACTTCTAAATGCTGCCATAAACTGATGTTACAACCAAGCCATCTGTAATTAGAATTCAATACTCCTAGTTACTGAAACTGCAATTATTAATACACAGTTCAGAATCTCCCACTGTTCAGCACGTATGTATGTATGTATGTATGTATGTATGTATCTGTATATACACACCTAAACCCATGAAGTCACTGTACGTTCACCATTACTGCTGCATAAATAAGCAAGCCCTTCTTGTACTAGGAAGAAAGTGTCTCTAAGAAGCCGGAAGTAATTCCCAGAGAAGCAGGGTTACAGTAAACAGAAAGATCAAGTGGCCTGGGAATGCCTGGAGGGGGGGGCACATCAGTGCCGATGTTTCTATACAATAGCATTAGTAACCTCAAGTGCCCTGCAAATCTTGTTTGCCACCTCCTGTACCTTCGTAGGAATTGATTTTCTTAGATCTGCTAACTAGAGAGTTTTAGCAGCTCTGGTTGGCAGTTTACTTCTCTAATGGAAAGTAGAATGTGGATTTATTGAGAAAATAATAATATAAGCTTAAAACAGCTTTTCCCAGCCCAGTTCGACAACAGCCTTCAATAGGGAACAGTTTAGCCTGAAAAGCGGACCTTGTGAATCCCTTAACGACCAGCCAGGGTTCTCTTCCTGACCCGGCACTCCCACCCCGCAATCCCAAACACCACGTAAGGGTAATTCAGGGCTCCAATGTGACTATTCCTTGATTTAACTGGGAAACTGCTTCCCAGAAGCAATTTTACTTCTAGATAAGGAGCACTATATTCTTGACATTTTTAAGGTCAGCAGCCAACCTTGATTTCTGTGTAAATTCCAAGCTCTCTAGCAATGTGACACCTAAGGGTTAAAAATCTAACTGCTTTGCTGATGAAGATGACCTGTGGCTTCTGACCTATTTAAGAGATAAACTAACTACAAGGCAGGAGAGGCTTTCTATTACTTACTACTGTGAATGAGTATTAGGTTGCTTTAACCCACATCCTTATCTGAAATGAATCTTAAAAGACAAAAGTGAAGGGTGGGGGGATGGGGCGCCAACACACACACCACTGACTGGACCCACAGTGTTAAGTCAAACTGGATTAAAAAAACAAACAAACTGGATTTTACTCAGCTTCACAATCCAGTTTTTTAAAAAGCCATATTACCCCCAAAGCATCAGTGGTGCTCAGATATCTGCCACACGTTGACAGATTCAGTTCCAAACTTGGGAAACTTTTAATTAAAAATGCTTATTGCCCCACAAAATCCTGTCCTCCAGTGCTGGTGAATTGCTGCGTGGCTCAGCGTTCTGATCCAGCCGGCTGCACTGAACTGTGGAAGGGACGGCTCAGCCATCCGCTGGGCGCAGCTATAAGTATATGCTTGTGTTCACCACTGTGTGTTCCCAGGGCACTGCGCCGCGCATCTGAAAACTTCCCAGGTAGTAATTAACAAAATTTGTATTCTAATCTCTACAGGCAAGTTTACTTAGGGTCTAATCAGTTTGTTAAAAACTGCATCTGAGATCTCACTTTGGGAAAAACGTAGTGCTAGTTGCTCCTTGATTTCAATTGTCCTTCAAGCTGGTATCCAACTGATATTTTTTGTTTGAAAGAACAGATCCTTTTTGGTACTATCATTTTAAAGGTTTCCCTCCCTGAATTAAAAAAGGAAGGGAGGGAGGAAGGGAGGAGAGAGGGAGAGGAAGAGGGAAAGAGGGAGAGGGAGAGGGAGAGAGACAGACAGAGGGAGTGGGAGAGAGA